TTAAGATTGATGTAGTTACCTGGCTTTCCGTACCACATCTCCAAATGAGTCTTCATTCCAATAGCTGTTGATAGGCACTTGTTAATAAGATAACAGACAGTTGACACAGCTTCACCCCAAAAGGTTTTGGGTAGATTAGCATTCAACATCATGTTTTCTAAATGTTCATCATTTCAGCTAATCCATTCTGTTGAGGTGTATTTCAAACTGTCTTGTGCCTTGTAAAACTATTTTTTCTGTAAAACTCATTAAACTTCTCAGAAGAATATACCAAGCCATTGTCAGTTCTCAAATGCTTCAATTTTATTTCCATCTTGTTTCAGTAAGAATTAACCAGTCCTTGAACCGTTCAAAAGCTTCATCTTTAGTTTTTAGAATAAAAACCCACACTCTCCTAGTGTAATCATCTATGACAGATAAAAAATACATCCTACCTCCATGTGATTGAGTTCTAGCAGGACCCCATAGATCACTGTGTACATAATCTAATGGTTTCTTTGTTGTGTGAGTTCCAGTAGAGAACTTTACTCTGGTTGCCTTCCCTAACACACATTGTTCACAAAATTCCAGTTTACAAACTTGGTCACCACCTAACAGTTTTTGTTTAGATAATTCTTGTAGGCCCCTTTCACTTACGCGCCCCAACCTTATGTGCCAAAGTCTAGTTTTATCAATTTCAGATTGAACAACATTAGAGAAGTTACCAATCACAGTTCTTCCGATTAGTGAATATAGACCATTATTTCTAACTCCTTTCATGGCAATAAAAGAGTCTTTAGTTACTCTAATACAACCATTTTTCAGCCTTAAAAGAATAGTCACTTGATTCCAACATAAAAAAATCAAATCCCTTTTGAGTTCTAGTATGTACTTGACATTTTGCAATATTCATTCATCTCCATCAAATATCATTTTCCTGATTGTCCCACTGTCAATAATCCCGCAAGCTCAGTTGTCACCAAGTAGTATTGATCCACTATTGACCAATTGTAGTTTCTCAAACTAATCTTTATGATGACACATATGGAAAAAGCCGCCTGAATAAAAAATTCACTACTTGCTTGATTTAGACTCAGTAATTACCAAAACATCAGCTGAATCATAGTCATCAGATGCTACACTTGTTTCTCCTGATTCTTTTAGATTTTTTTGATATTTTTTCTTTCTGTCAGGACAGTTGTTCTTGAAGTGACATTCCAATGGTAACATTTGAAAGGTTCCTTTGATAACTGATTTTCACTTTTCTTTCATTTTCTTGATCTTGATCTGCTCTGATTTTTTCTTGAGTCTCTTCTGTCTGATCTTCCTCTGACAGTAAGACCATCTCCACTACTCTCCTCATTTATATCATGTTGCTTTTGAAATTCTTTAGCTCTGATCAGCGATTGAACTTCTTCCAGCGAAATTGTCTGCACTTTTCATAAGCCTTGCATCTTTGAAATGCCCATAACTCTCAGAGTTTAGCAACAATAAAGACTTATCCTTGTCATCCATCTCGACTTCGATGTTTTCAAGATCATCTATGATCTTATTAAACTCATCAATCTGCTTTGAGATTGATTTTCCTTCATGCATCTTGAAAGAATACAAACGTTGCTTCAAGAAGAGTTTGTTGGTCATGGATTTTGTCATGTAGAGCAGCTCAAGTTTAGCCCAAAGTGCCTGAGTCATTGTCTCCCTTGACGCTTCCCTCAAAACTTTTTCACCCAGAGTCAGAATTATCATACTATGAGCTTTATCAAAGATACTGTTCTCATCTTTCTCGGACATCTCAGCAGTCAACGCAGTTAGTCCTTGCAGTGCTTCCACAATGCCCTGTTGCACAAGCAGGGTTGTCATCTTAACTCTCCACAAGCCAAAGTCATCATTTCCTTTGAATTTTTCGATGTTGAACTTGACAGATCCCATCGTCGTTGTTTGGTTTCCCAAAGACGATGCCACTTGTTGATGTATCTACCAATCACTCTGCAATAGAAACTAACCAAGAGCAACACAAAGAAACAAATGCTAGCTTAAAATAACACAAAACAAGAAAACAAGAATATAACCAAGAACACCAAGGATTACGTGGTTCGATCAATTTGACCTACATCCACAGAAAGAGAATAAACACCAATTTACTAAGGCAATCAACAATGTTACACATCTTTATCACTGAGAGAGGAGCTCTCTTGTCATACTCTCTCTCTCTCATCAACCCGATAAAAGATTCTCAAGATCCTCACCCTAGTTTCATAAAACCTCTCCTTACCTCACTCTAACAAATGTTTTCATTTCACTTGAACGCTCTCAACATGAATCCCTAATTATTTATAACTAATGAGCCTTCCCCCAGTAGAGCAGTTCACCAATCAGAAGTCTTCTTTCATTCTTTAACAACAATTGATAGATTTACAGTTATATCATTGACTTAGTCTAATAATTGTGAGACATCACAACACCAATTCAATCGATACGTCAAACTTATCTAAAATAGACGACCGCATTACATCAGTCCCCGAACATATATGAAATACGAAGAAACCTAGGCAGAAGGTCGATGATATGAATTGAGATACGAGTCATAATAAACATAAAATAATTTTTTATTTAAAATATCATGTAAAAAAAATATTTGACAAAATTGAATGCAGATAGAACTTACATGAGATTTATAAAGGACTCGATGGCTCATTAATTACTATAAGCAAAGAAAAAATATTTTGTCCAGACGTACGGTCAACCACCAGCGGCCACGTCGCTCGCTTATGATCTGTATGGCGACGTGGCGCCGGTGATTGACCATCCAGACGTGCGGTGTCCGGAAGAAATTTTTTCTCATAAGCAAGGACTATGGTAAACATTCATATATTTATAATTAATATCAAGTAATTAGAAGAAAGACTATTAATGCGTTCTTGAATTGTTTATACTTTCTATTAAATCAAACTAAAAGCAATTGAAATTTACACAAATCCTAGAAAAGACGCAATAGTTCATTTGATAAGAGAGAGAGTCAAGCCTTATTGAAAGTTTAAGTATTCAATAATTTATCGACATCATAGATTTGAATGCACAATAAGAACCTAAGATATCATATCGTCACCAGATCTACCACGATAGCATAAAACATTATTTAAAGATTCAAAGCTAAGTTTTGTGCATGATATAATGGTAAACAATTCACACAAAATAGTAAGAGTAGTTTTAAGTCATGTCCATATTTTATGAAATAATTAGTAATTCAAATATTGGTTTAAAAAGACATGCACGTGCTTTAAAAAATGTGTCAACTTCTTTCGTACAAATTTATGAAATTTAAAAGTCTGCATGGGTTCCAACAATTATATTAAATATTTAATTCTTAATTGTGAGAATGGTGCATGGAATGTGATAAAATTAAAACTAATCAACCCATATGTGCTCCAATAATTATGCTAAAACGCTTGAACATAAGGAGAAAAAATATTGTGCTATTCAAATTGATCTTACTTATAAAAATATGTAAATTTTTCAAAAGTCTATTCTTATAAAGAATTCTATTTTATAATCAAGTCCAATATAATCAAATGACATACTCTCAAACAAACAACCTTATTTATAGGATATGTGGTTTGTATGTCTCAAATGATCAGTCTAATCCTCTTCCATGTTCGATTTGCAGTTGATGGGGATGATAATTTTAAAGATATCAGAGTCTCAAATTTCAAATAAATCGCAAAAAAAGAGAGTTACAAATATCAATCCCAATGATGGACCCGCCGACTGAAAATCTTAACAAAAAAAGTGAACTCTTAAATCAAATTTTAAATCAAATTCATAAAATAATAAACAAAAACATTCAAATCAAACTCTTTATCTAAAGCTTAAAACAAACTTCATCCACTGTCCACAATAGTTTGTCGAGAATGCAAATTTATGATTAATGTTAGCTCACAAAAAGTAAATTTCACAAAAAGTGAATGCCACATCTAGTGTATCAATATGTTCACACTCAAATTAAATTTACACCATTAAAGAAGAGAATCAAGCCCTCTGACAAAATGTTATCATTAAATTACGGTTATGATTGTAGCATGTATGTTCCCTAACAGTTTCTTATCATTTGTAGGGCTGTCAATTTAGCTCGTTGTTCGTGAACAGCTCGTCTTCGGCTCGTTAAGCAGCTCGTGTTCGGCTCGTTCGTTAAGTCTAACGAGCCGAACCGACCACGAACAATTTTTTAAGCTCGAAATGTAAACGAGCCGAACACGAACTCGAAATGGCTCGATAAAAAAATATATATATATAATTTTTTATATAACAATATATTACATATATTATTTATATAATAATATATTATATATATTTATGTCTAAATTTAAATCATAACGCCTCATGTAGCAATGTGGTTAGTGTCTTCTTTTGTATAGATTTGATCCAGGTTCGAATCCCACACATTACATCTATTTTTCTCAATTTTAGATTAACGAGCCAATTTCGAGCCGAACACGAGCCGAACACGAACACAAATATTTAAATCGAGCCGAACACGAACACACTGTTCACGAGCCGATTTCGAACACGAGCCGATTTCGAACACGAGCTATTTCGAACGAGCCGAACACGAGCCAAGCCTGAGCTCGCTCAAGCTCGGCTCGTTTACAGCCCTAATCATTTGATTTGTGAATCGTAAGGGCACATTTAGTAGACATAAATCCCTAATCACAAAGTTATTGGGTCTACAATGATTGACATTTTTCTAACTTGAGAGGGAGTGTTGAGAAAAATATACAAGATCCTAGGAGTAACTGATTTTGTGCTTACTGATATAAGATAAAATAGGAAATTAGTTGCACTTAGTTGCACGGGGTTGATCTTTAGGATCATGAATGTTCTATATTTTAAATATAACTCCATTTACGGCATGATGGAAGTAAACAATTCATAGAAACCATTTTATTAAGATGATTTATGTTATCAGCTAGAGTTTATGACTCTGAATTATTCACAAATTGGAACATATTTTCTACCTTTGGCAGGATCTCCTAATGAAATCAACTATGGATTCCATTTTTAAGGTTGGATTTGGTGTTGAGCTTGAAACTCTTTCAGGGACAGATGATTTAGGGGCTGCTTTCTCAAAGGCCTTTGATGAATCAAACTATATGGTTTTCAGGCGGTATGTTGATATATTCTGGAGAGCAAAGAGGAATTTCAACATCGGCTTAGAGGGCCAGCTTAAGAAGAACCTGAAGGTGATTGATGAGTTTGTTTTTCAACTCATACAGCACAAGAGGGAACAGATGGAAAGCAATGTTAAAGATGTAAGAATTCCTCAACTTCTCAGCTTATGTTATAAATCAGATTTGGGTGAAAACTGAATAGAGTTCTTTTTCAGAAAATGAAAGAGGATATACTTTCGAGATTCGTGTTGGCAAGTCAGAAAGATACGACAATGAATGATAAATATTTGAGGGATATCATCCTCAATTTCTTGATTGCAGGGAAGGATACATCTGCAAATACGCTTTCATGGTTCTTCTACATGCTGTGCAAGAATCCATTGGTACAGGAGAAAATTGTAGCTGAAATCAAAGAGGTCATTGAATTTGAAAATGGTGGTTCAATTGATGGGTTTGTGAATAGATTAACAGAAGAAGTCTTGGACAGAATGCAGTATCTCCATGCTGCATTAGCTGAGACTCTTCGTCTTTTTCCTGCTGTTCCAGTGGTATTGTTAACATTTTTTGCTTGCATTCCTTTTTTAATGCTCGATTTATTTTTGAGTTTAAATAATCCCCCAAAATTCAAATTAACAGGAAGTTCGAATATTCAACAAGTTTAAATGATAATAGCACCATTAATCATAGTAAAACAATTTGAGATAAACAAAGGGCGATAACTTGTCCCGTGAAGAAATAGAAATTGAGGCCGTATAATACTATGAGTGGCTCTTCCTCATTCCATGAAAAATATGAGTCGATGAATATCCATGACTACATTTGGGGCTCAATTTGAGCCCTCCCTATTCCATTGTTTGACTTGATTTAAGAAGTTTCTAGCTCAGGCTCAAAGTGTCAATCGGGTTATGATACCGATTCTGTTAAGAATTAAATTAATGATATGTCCTTTCAAGTCTTAAGTGAAATTATAAAAAACTAGAATTCGGAGAATTGATTTTGTTCAATTGTTTAAATATATCGTTTGGTGACAGGATGGAAAACTTGCAGAAGAGGATGATGAATTACCAGATGGTTTTAAGGTGAAAAAGGGGGATGGAGTAACCTATATCTCCTATGCAATGGGAAGGATGACGTATCTTTGGGGTGAAGATGCTGAGGACTTTCGGCCCGAGCGATGGCTTAAAAATGGAACTTTTCAGCCTGAGAGCTCTTTCAAATTTGTCTCCTTCAATGTGAGGCTTCAGTTCTGTTCAATTTTCTTTTATAGAATATTTTTAATTTCTATTGATAAGATAATTAAAAAAATTACCAGTTTATATATGCACTTTCCAATGTAGGATGGTTAAGTGTTTAAGGTCTATAATGCAATCTAAGATAATATATAAAGTAAAAATACAAAAATATCACAGTTTACAGGTTACTATTTCATCATTTAGCAAGTACACATCACCGTTAATGTAAGGATGAATATACACTTTACTCATCCCAACAATCGCCGAAATATGAAATTCTTTGACAAGAAAACAATGCCAATGTATCATTTCAGCAACTAATCAAGTTCACACATCAAAAGGAAAACACGGCACATATTAAATTATACATGCAAAGTCAGTGGTTAATCATCTTGAGAGATAAAAAGTGATGTAGCAATCACCAGAAAGGGCAAAACAACGCTCACGCTAGGCCAAATAATCTGCCTCCAGGAAATAGTCATTACAACCACAAGAGAGGAAGATTGAATTTTATTTCAATATTCATTGCTCGATCAATTTTGCAGGTGTTGGGCCTATTTATATAGTCTTGACCTATTTATATAGTCTTGAAAGACAAAAAAAAAAAAGTCTTGCCAAAATAAAAAGTGGCAGAGGACTTGAGAGTAGGGATGTAAAGAAGTTAAAACAAGCACGAGTCATAGCTAACTCACGTTTGGCTAACCTACCCAATGGTAGACTCAAAGTCAAATTCAGCTCATACAACAAGCTTGTGCTTGAGCCTGCTTGGCTTGCTAGAACAACAATAGGCTTGAGCTCGAGAACCCCAAATCCCAAAAAACTCAAATCAGGAATTCACTAACATCAATGGGAGCTTGTTGGAAGAGGCATCAATGGGTTTAGAGGGGAAGTCACAATGGGAGCTCCAATGTAATATTTTAACACAAATATATATTCCTATAGAAATTCAAATCAATTTGGCATGCTTATGCCCTAGCATCTTTTGTCAACTTGTAACAAAAATTATGTTGAGTTTGGATTTAAAATTTTTGGCACATCAAATGTGGAGCAACCAAATATGTGGAAAATTTTTTGGGGGAATAAGTTGTGGTAACAAAGGGATTGGACGGACCGCGATAAACACTCATGTTTTTGGGTAGATTTTATTAGGTTTTTTTACACAAGCCTATATATATGATATTTATAATAGAGTTTCAAATGTGAAGAGAGTCGAACACCGGATCTTAAGTGCTTCATTTTGTAATCTTTTTGAGAGTAGTGAATTATCTTCCTCCTTGTCTGTGATTTTTTCCCATATTTGTTTTTTCACGTAAATCATTGCACAATAATTTCATAATATAATTTAATTATAAGTATAATCCTTGGGCAAAATATAATGTCTATTATATTGAAATGATTGTTCAACAAGACGGTCTATGAGTCCGTTTGGGGAGGAGGTGATGTGGCGGTGTTTCACCTCACCGCAGTTTTATTTGTTTGGGTAAATTGCATTTTGACAGCTTTTTCAAAAGGTACAGCTAAAATCTGCATTTTCCCACCGGTCCTAGCTAGGTGAGGTTCAGCTTTCTAGCTGTGGTATGGCTGTTAAAAAAAAATATAATTATCACCGCAACTTTTTGAACATCAGATTATTTTTCAGCTATTTCATAACTATTTTTTAATAAGCTGTGACTACCCCAAAAGACCCTTTATCGTAAAAAATAAATATATGTATATTTTAAATCATTGTTGTCTAACAAGACGAAGGTTTAAATTTGAGCAACTAGGTATTGAGGTGTTTTTAGTTGGCAGACAAGAATGAGGCGTAAGCCTTACAGTCAATAAGTTGCACGAAGAATCAAAAACATTTAACATCCCAATATCAGATCATGAAATAAGAAGTGTTAAACAAGAAGTGAGATATAATATAAAATTAAGAATTAATAAAAATATAATTCAAAATGAGTTTAGCACAATTAATCTCTCCCTCCATTCCCATTGCTCCATGCCAACATAAGAACATAATAAGTAACCAGCTACCAAGATTAGAATCTAAAATAAAAAGTTCCTAGCACTCTCAAAGCTCATCAAGTCTTCAATTGAATCATTATAATGAATTTTTTTCTAGTCAGCTTCATCCTCAAATGTGTCAATGTTCTTCCAATCTTTCCATTCATCTTTGATCTTAATTATCTTCATCTTTCCTAATTAATAATAATTAACACGAATATTAAGTAAAATTTGAAATAATGACTACATTGATAGTTACAATTTCAAATATCCAAATATTTTTATATACATTTTCTTTTTATTTCTTATTATCTTGTTGGCTGTTACATCTCCTTGCTTTGTTTGTCTCCTCGTTAATAAAATTTTTGTTAGGATTTTCTTGTTGTTGATCGGATAGTGCAACTTTATTATCATCATCCTCAAATAATTCATTTTTTAATAGCACATCATTACAAACTAATAGATCTTTGTCATTGCTTAAAGACTTTTTCTTCAAATATCTATAAGTGAACCTCTTATTAGACATGAAGTAAATTAAAGAATTTATCCCTGAGGTAGTCAAATGATTACTCCTTTTAATACAAACTTGATTGTATGCACTCAATTTTAATCACAACTAGAACATGAGTGTGTAAGATCAAATGCTTTCACAATAAATTGAGATAGCTCTAGAGTGTTATCACTAAACGAAAGGCCCGTTTGGGGCAGCTTATTTGGTGCGGATTTGGTGCGGTGGTGTTTTGGTGTTTTGAAAACGCACCTGACATGTTTGGATAAACTGCGTTTTGGCAGCTTATGCATTTTCAAAACACAGAAAACAACATTTTCACACAACACCTATCTAGATGCGGTGGCAGCTTATTGATAACGGTCTGGCTTTTCCAAAAAAATAAAAATTTGTAATATCCACCGCTCCTAGTTTATCAGTAGATTATTTTTAATCAGCTTATCAGCAGATTATTCAATAAGCTACAGCTGCCCCAAACAGACCCTAAATATATGATTTAACTAGATTAAAAAAAAAATTAAAATTGGGAGAATCCTTCATTATTTCAACCAATAAATACTAAAAATTATATGAATAATATTTGACAACTATATTTTTGTTTTGGTGTAGTTCAAAGAATCCTTCCTTACTTTAAAAGCCACGAGTTGAGTCAATTATCAATCTAACCATGCAATGGTATAAAGCAAAATTTATCTCAGAATGCATATTGAAATTGAGAATTAAAATAATTTCCTATGGTATACATGTTGACCTCGTTTTGAGGTCATTACTTTTTTTCCTTAGAATCCTAGAATCTAGCTCTAGGGATTCTTATTGACTATCTTAGAAAACTAGTATTGGAATTCATCTGTTTTTTTAGAAATTCAAGTCACTTCCTATTTCTCTTGTGATGTCTCGCATTGATGATCTCAAAACCATCGTTGTATGGTCGAGTGACTAATGACTATCATGCGGAGATTCAATGAGAAGTTCCCAATAGGATCTCAAGCCCTAGGAAAACTTTTTAAGGACTTCATCATCACGCACACACACAAAATGCACAAAATTCACCAAGTTACACAAAATCGGGCCAAATTTGAGCTTAATGGATGGGTGAAAATGCGAACTTCTTCGGACGACCTCTGATGACAAAATGGATTGCGCCAACACGTCCGATAAACCAATTTTAGCTAGGAAAGACACCCAAATTGCCATAATTTCTTAACACGAGAAAATTACATGCAAATCGATGAATTCCTCAAAACGACCTCCGACGATGAAACAGACCATGTCAACGCGTCCAGAACGTCAAAATTACCTAGAAATGACATTCATTTTATTATGATGTGACGCACGAATAAAAGGTACGAATCAAATTTTATTTTTAGGAAATTTTATATATTTTATATACTTTTATAGTTATATCATTATTTATAATAAAATTTTTAATCCTAAACCTTATTTACACCCTACCTGCACACTTAGCTCTTCGTTCGACCCATCCCGCGACTCTATCAGCCACAACAGCGTCCCTCTCGTGCGATCCACGCGGCGATCTCTCCCTCTCTCTCGACTCTTCTCCTTCCTCGCGTGGCCGCTTGACCTCTCGACTCTCCAATCGTGGGAGCTCGTCTGGTCGACCCTTCTTCTTCTCGAGGTTTTACTTTCTCCTCCTATATGGTGACGATTCACTCCCGTTGTTTGATTCGACCACCTTAGGGCTGGTAGGTGTCTGTCCCCCTCTAATCTCTGCCTATAAAAGAAATTCTTAGGTTGTTATTTTGGGTAGTTGAAAATTTTGAGAGGGAAAGGAAGGCTGAGATTGTTTTGTTGGTTGTTGTTTAAGGCTCTTAGGGGGAGGCTCTGCCGAAATTCCTTCTCAGCTAGGTTCTTATGTGTTGGAGTGTTCGTTGGTTGATGTTTCTTGAAGCTTTTAGGAGGAGGGTTTCTGTAGGAGGTATTTTCTTGAATCTGTCTTACAGTTTTTGCTTTAAGTTTGCATTAGAAAGGTATTCTTCTTCCTCCTTTATGCAAGCATTCAAAGGAGATATATGATTACCCTACTCTCATGCCTTGGTTTTGATATATAAGAGTATATGTTGGTAATTTTGTTCTGATGATGAGTAATATTTCAAATCTCTGTCATTTGGAATTACTTCTGAATGCATGTTCTTTCTAATGCACCTGGAATTGGGAAATTAAGGCTACTTTAAGATTTATTTGAAGATTTATTTTTAAGATTTATTTGAGCTTAGCATTAAGAATGAGAATGGCTATAAGATTTATGAGCTGGAACATAATCCATGCGACTGCCTTTTTTTTGCTTGAAATGCATGTTGGATGGAAATTTATTTTTTCAAATTTATTAGGTGCCTATTTGGAGGTCTCAGTTTTGCTCTATAATGCTATTTGAAATACATGCTAAATGAAATGCTGGTTCGAAACTTGATTCTTAAGCTCTCTATTATTGGTACCCCTGTTCAAATATATGTTGGAATTCATTTATGCTTATTCGTTCTCTGTT